TTCATGGCCTCGGCGGAGGGATCGTCTATAGGCCCCTCTTGGACACTGGCTCGTTCTTACAGAGTCCAGTGATGACAATGCCCCCGAGAAATACGTCCCCCCAGGTGGTTTGGGAGGGGAGCTACTTGTGACAACGTTTTGAGGAGAGACGAGGAGGAACCAGGACGAGGGAGGTGCAAGGGCAGCTCGGGCGCTACGCGAGCGCTCATAGATGGGGCGCAGTGCGGTCAAGTGACGGGCGAGGTGATGAGAGAGGGTGGTGGGAGAGGGAGAGGCTCGAGGAGGATCGGCGAGTCGAGGCGGCGAGGCGAGGGAGGCGGGGGCGGGCGGAGAGGACGAATCGAATGCGTGGGGTACGAACGGAACGACGAGGAACGGCGAGACGAGGGGTCGAGGAAAAGGGAACGCTGCGGTGGAACGAGGGCGGAGAGGGGGGCCCGAGAGCGGTTTCTAGAGGACGCCGAACAGGTCCTCGGTCGCGCAGCAGAACTGCGAGGCGGGCAGGCTGTCAGTACGACGCTCGAGTGCAAGCATAGAAGAGGGGCGCAGGGACGCACCTTGCCGCACGCGACGCTCGCGCTGAGTGAGTACTCCGAGATGGCGACCTTCTCGTCGACGAGGTGGTCGGCAAAGTTGTCGGGTCTGCGGGACGGCGCACGCGCAGGTTGTCAGTGACACTGCCGCACTGTGCGACGACGGTGCGAGCGCGAAAGGCGACGAACCCGTGAGCCATGGCGCCGACAAAGACGCAGATCGAGTGCGTGTCCGGGATTGTCGGGAGGTAGTCGCGCAGGCGGACAGGCTTGGCGTCGAACGACAGGGCTGCAGAGAGGCAACGAGTGACGAGAGTCAGTACGGCGAGGCGTGCGTGAGGCAGGGCGGCAGGAGGACGCACTGATCTTGTGGCACTGGCTCGGGAGGTGGTCCGTGATCGGGTTCTGCGTCACGAGAAGGGGAGCGGGTCAGGTTCGTGGCCTCACAAGGACACAAAGAGATGAGAGACGCACCTTGATGACCTTGAGGAGCTTCTCGGAGCCGTTGATCGAGCGGATCGAGAGACGGTGCAGGAGCTGGACTGTGGGCGAGTGCGACGACGAGGCGTCGAGGCGGGTCAGTGTCGGGCTCGACCGGACTGTGCGCTCTCGAAAGGAGGGAGGGACGGACCCATGAGGCCGCCGAAGCGCTTGAAGGTACGCGGGATGCGGACGGCCGGGTTGACCTCGATGAGGACGCCCTTTGCCGTGTGGATGTAGACCTGGAGGCGGCCGGCCTTGTTCAAGGGCGAGTCGAGGAGGGTGAGGAGGCACTGCGGGAAGGACGACGCGTGAGCAAGGAGGGACTTGTCGTAAAGAGAGAGGGAAGGAGACGGACCTGGTGGGTGATGTCGGGGCGGGCGTGGGCAATGTCGCGCCCCATCTTTGCGAGGACGCCCTGGTGGTCGTCGCAGTTGAGGAGCGAGTACTTGTCCTCGCCCTTGCCGCCGCGAGCGCCGGGCGGGGCCGAGTGCTTGTACGTCTCGAGGCAGGCCTGCTCAAGGACGACGATGAGGCGGCGGGTCGAGTCCTTGTCGGCGTTGGTCTTTGGGGCCTTTGGGGCAGTCGGGACGAGGGTCGGGTTCAAGGGCGGGCTGCCGGGGGCGGGCCGCTTGCGCGACTGCTTGGGCGGGGGCTTCTCGATGGGGATGGCCTTTGAGGACGAGGGGACGAAGAGCGGGGCCTCGACCGAGAGCTTCTTGGTGGCAGCGGCGTGGTGAGCGTCGGACATGGCGGGCGGGTCGTGGGTGCGAGTAGTGGTTGCGCGAGATGAGGTTGAGCTGGGTGTCGGGGGAGTGGGAGGGGA